TTGCAACCAAGATTATAGATGTGGAAGTGCTGATGCAGTTCAGAACTGTTATAACATGGGAGGAACAACTGCAGTTCTGAATCTATAATGCCAGTCAAATTCATTAAATTATGTTGGTATAGCAACTGGTTAGCCTCTTCCATGCTCAAAATATCTTGTGTCAGATAATTAGTACTGCTTAATTGTATTTTGTCACAAAAGAGGCAAGTAATTAAAGAGGTTCTTGCAGTGGCTACAGGGCCAGAAAGGGGTAGAAACCGCTTATAATTAGAATGTATGTTGTGAATGCGAATTAATAGATGTAATAATGTAACCATCTCTTCATTTCCCAGGATTCAAATCAGTTTCCAGCATATTTGAACTGCTGCTGCTTACTCATCTTCTCCACACACCTTTCCTCTTTTTTTTTTTTTTCTTTCTTTGTCTCTTCTTGTGAACTTATGAAAGCTGTAAAATATACCATTCATTTAGACCCTTCCTGACTGGTAACCACGTGGACAAATGAGCTAGTAAAATCTGGTTTGGCCTTTCTACTGTGTTACTCTGTTTTGGCTGCCTTTGGTCTCTGTTCTTCTTTATTTTTCCTAATCTTGTTCTCTGTATGAAAATGTTTTGAGTGTTTGATCAAAAACGGCAATCATCATTGTCCACTATGTCAGAGGGAAAAAGAGAATCACAGAATGGCCTGGGTTGAAAAGGACCACAGTGATCATCTAGTTCCAAACCCCCTGCTATGTGCAGGGTCACCAACCAGCAGACCAGGCTGCCCAGAGCCACATCCAGCCTGGCCTTGAATGCCTCCAGGGATGGGGCATCCACAGCCTCCTTGGGCAACCTGTTCCAGTGCATCACCACCCTCTGTGCAAAAAACTTCTCCTAATATCTAACCTAAAATTCCCTGTCTCAGTTTAAAACCATTCCCCCATGTCCTACTGAGATTACTCACAAAATAGTGTTTGAGATTTCAAGTCAGCAAGTGACAGAGTCAATCAGAAAACTGATCAAAAATCAATCAACAATGGAGACAAGTTACGGAATCAGAGCTTCCTGAAACAAATGAGAAACTTCTCTTTTATGATCTGAGGATGTAACTTTTATATTGTTGCAGGAATCCTCAATTTGATTCACTAAGCATTGTTTGATGCCGAGTACAGAATCTGTCATCTGGCAGTAGTAATTCTGGATTTAAGAAGAAAACTGTGCCATCCTGAATGAGGATACTGAAATAAAAGTTCTTCTGAAGGGGTCCAATAGCTGCTTTATAGACTACGTGTATAAAGCAGTTCTGTGGTTTACTGCAGTAGCTGCAACAGAATACAGCCCCCCATCTTATGTAAAAGCAAGCACAATTGAAGTAATAACCAGCAAAAGCCTTGGCAATCCCAAATGTAGGTCAGTAAGTCTTCCAGAAGCTACAGCTGGGATGTTTTAATCTAAACCAAGCACTGTTCTCCATCTTGTTCATGTCTGTATAACATAGGGTTCTGCAGTTCTACAGCTGACAGTCCCGTCAGTTTCTCTTCATCTTATAGCTTTCTTCTTTTTTTATTTTCTTTATTTAACAAGGTCATTCATACCTCATCTCTGTGCATACAAATGTAGCAGGAGTTTGTGATAATTATGTATGTGGGGCAAATGGATTCATTCCCAGGTGATATCTCTGCCATATGGTTTTGAAATGGCTCTTCGCAATGAAAACAAAAGCTCCACTTCTCCCTTCAGGCCTGACACAAGATAGAAACTTGACTTATTTGTGGCAGTGAACCTATTTAGTATCTTACCAGACTCAATTCACTGGAATTCATTTTTTAAATTCAAATAATCAAATGCTTTTCTTATGCCTTTGGAAAAAGAAGATGCTCACTAATGAGAGCTGAAACAAAAAGGAAAAGTGATAACCAATTTGTTCCCAACATTTTTTTTTCAAAATTGTGGTTTTTTAAAAAACAAACTAAAAATTATTTATTTCCACATTATATCAGACTTTCTTCCACTCTGCTTCTATTAATCAATGCCTTGCAGTTGTCTTTGTTCTTTAATTTTCCTTTGTTTTTTCTTTCTAGCTTGACCTTTCATTATATGCATATCATGTAAACATAGCATGCCCTTGTTAATTCTTAACTTGTTAGATTTATGGCTAATAGGCATTTTAAGGACTTTCTTCTTCCATTAATTGGACAGCTGTATTGGTGATTACTGCACATGTTGGATGATTTGTATAGGGAATGCAGAGTTGTAATATTTTGGAAAGTTTGTAGCAGTGTAATGTATGTTTGCATTTGGAGTCACTTTAGTTACAAAAATGCCCTATTGTTTTACTATTGACAGTATACTTAGATAAATTGTGAACAATTACTGACTAAATTTGCTCAAATTTTTGCACAATCTGAACTTCTATCATTCAAATGTGACAAAAGGATACTTTCCTAGCTTACCCAGCTACTAACAAAATTTCAGGATGTTTTCAGGATGTACAGATCCCACATACGCTATGAATATAATTCTGCTTTATACCATTACTCTTAATCAGCAATTTATTCAGAAAACCAAAGGTTTTTTTGTATATAGAATGGGGCTGTTTAGCCTGGAGAAAAGAAGGTTCTGAGGTGACCTGATAGCAGCCTTTCAGTATCTAAAGAGGAGCTAATTCTAGTGAGAATGATTGGTGATAGGTGGACAGTTGAACTGGATGTCGTTGGAGGTCTTTTCTAACCTCAGTGATTCTATGATTCTACAAGAGAGAAGGGGACAGACTCTTCAGCAGGGTCTGTGGCAACAGGACAAGGGGAGATGGATCCAAACTTAAAGAGGGAAGATTTAGGTTGGATATATTCCAGTGACAGCGGTGAGGCACTGGAACTGGTTGCCTAGAAATGTGGTGTTTGTAGCTAATGTGAAAAGTAGTGCCTGCTTTATTTAAACATACCAGGTATATGCTTGTTAGAAGACAGACAATTTTACATTTTGAATTTTCCATTAACTTAGAGGAAAATGGCATGGCCATCAGTTTAGCCCTTAATTTCTGCTCCAAGCATTGCCATTTGATTTAAGCAACAATTCTTTTTGAAATCAGTTTGAATATATACATATTGTTTTTGCTTTAAAAATTAATCTTAACAATTCTAATCAGTCAGCACAGATATGTTTGTCCAGCAGAGCTTAAAACAAATCAATGATAACAGAAACAATATTTGTCTGAGATACAGCAAAGATATGGAAATGTTCTGGTGCTTTTTCATGGTGCTAAGTGTTGGGTTTTCTTTCAGTAGTGCCACAATATTAGTAATAGTTTAACTATCAAGAAATTAAAAATACATGTGCTCAAACACTTACTTGACTGCTATGATGAAGATTTTTTTTTTTTAAAGGCATAAATCTCCACTCTAATTGGATAAAATATAGTTTTATTACTTTACAGCCCATCTTCAATTCAAGGCATGCCAAGACTGGAAGAATTGTAAGCGGTCCAGATTGTTCTAAGGCCTGTTTAAAATGAACTGACCTTAGGAGATTTGCATTCCTTCGGAAAGATTAGCCATTATTTGCATGAGCTTGTAATTGTGCTATCTTTTCAACAAAGAACAGAAGTCTTGTAGTAGTTCTACAGAGGTCACTCCAAAAGTAATGCCTCCTGTAATTTCCCATGTAAGCTACAACAGACACACAGAACACAGTAGCATGATTTGATAGAGTAATTCTCAGCTACAAAACACTATTTTCAACATAGTCACCACCATTAACTATGCATTTTTGTCAGCAGTGACAAGGAGGGTAGTCCAAAAATCTTTTAAAATTTGTGGTTCTTTAAAAAAAAAAAAAAAAAAGCCAACATAAAAACAACGTAGCATACTGCAGAACTGGCATAGTTGTGGTTTTTCTTATTTACTGCCGAAGCTGAACAGTAGATGTATTGGTATATCTGAATTTTATTCAGCCTCACATCCAGAAATATACAGCTTCACTTTTTCATTATGCATTGCTTACAATGCCAGTTCTTGGAAGAATGGAGCATACTATCGTATTTAACATACTATATTTGAAAGTGCTTCATCCTTAAGCATTTCTAAAACTGACCCTTAAACTGGCAATTTTATGTTCAGAGATTTATTTTTTAGGATTAATCTGCTGATCGTTGAAAGAATCCTATAGGGATAAACGAGCATTAATTTTTTGTTATATTGAGAAGTAGTTTTTAACCAGAAAGATCATGTGTTGCTTTAGCCTGTGCAGTAAGCCAGACTATTGGATGAACTGGAGTAGAGTTTAAAGTTTAATATTATCCTGCCTAGTAAGGACTAATACTTCCACCACTACACAGTGATACATAATCTTAGAAGAATTTGTTAGGACCTATGTTTCTTCTATGAAGAGTGGACATTAAGCTGTTGTAATGTTGGTTTGGTGGTTTAGCTCTTAAAAAAAAAAAAAAAAAAAAAGTCACCAGCTGGCTTCTCAGCATCTTCAATTCTCATTTAGATATATCATAGTCTTAGGAGCCTGGAAGCACTTTTAAGGATTTCAGGAATCTGTAAGATTTCTTTCACTCAGCATCTTCTCTTTCTCATATTAGACACTTGTTATCTAACTTACACATTATGTGTATTTTTGATGGCAGATTTCATATATTGTTCAGTATAATTTGTCTTCTATTTACTACTCCTTGTTTATAGAATCATAGAATCACCAAGGCTGGAAAAGACCTTTAAGCTCATCCAGCCCAACCATCCACCTATCACCAATATTTTCCACTAAACCATGTAATTGGAAATATGTGGAAATATTCCACAATTTGTAGTGGAAACATGTCCTCAAATCTGTGGTGTTGAGATAACTGGACTGTGGTGAAGGTCTCCCTTGGTGTGTGATGGGGGTAAGCAATGCTTTCACTGTGCTCAAAGCCAGTTCTGGCATTTCATTACAGCATCCTTGGGTATAATCATTCTGAAATAATACTGGAACTCCTAGGCTTGTCCCAGAAAGAGGGTTATTTTCCCACTCACCCGTATGCTGGAGGCTCCAAGAAAAATTACAGCTCAATACAGATCTCCACACTGCCCTTTAAAAGGTCCACATTAACTCTTCTCTGTCTGGACATGATCTGTAAAGAAACCCAAAGTGATTAACCAAAAAGAAACAAATGGAGGAGGAGGGTGTCAGGACCTTTGATTTTCCCTTTCTCTAGAATGGTAGAAGTCCTTAAAAATTGACACTCTTCAAAATATTTAGGTACTTTGCTAACAGTCATTTTGCTGAATATTCTCTTCACATTTTTACTCTAATACCTTCATGACTCAGGTTAGTGAACATGAGATCTCCTCCTGCTTTGTTTGAGCATCAAAAGAAACACTTAAAATACTACAAGTGCTTTACTGTTATTGACACATCAGTACCACACATTTTGTAATGTCTTTTCACAAGTAATATAACAGTATTTTCAATTGCATTTAGAACAACTTGCATGCATAAGGATGTTAAATATCTCACAAAACCGCTTGGCTTTTGATCAGCCCTAATAAGAATAATCATACTGTGCAAACCTCTTGAACTGCCCGTTTGCTATGCAGTGTGAACAAGTTACATTGCAGGAACTAAATGATACAGAACAGGTTAATTAAATTTGGCGATTGAAAGAGCATGCACTGATTGTGTTTTGTGTAAATAATGGTTTTATTAGTGGTCACGTGGGCAAGAAAAGCTCTGTGATAAGATGCTTGAGGAATCAGTTGAAAAAAAGTATTTTCCTTTTTTATTTTTAAAGGCAGCTGTCACTTATGTTTCTTATTTTAGTTCTGATATTATCTGGTTTCTCGGTATGCATTATTGACTGCAGGTGAGAAGAATTTGGAGGAAGATCAGTATCCTTTCACAGTGTGGACCATTTTACATCTGCAAAATAGGCTAACATCTGCTTTAAACCAGGCTTTTTAAGTCATCCCCAGTGTACAGCAGAGGAAATTATAATGGCTAGTGAAATCATTTTTAATTATGAGAGAGGGGAGGATCTACTTTAAATCAATTTTTAAGTTATTAAATTATATGTTAGACTATTTACATATCTGCTTTTTTTCCCCCTCCTCTTTCTCCTTTATTTCAGCTTAAAGCTTCATGGAGGAGAAAAGGTTCTGGCTTAGAGGTGAGAAGGACTTTGTTAGTGTAGTTCATAACAGAAATGAGTCAGAAATGGAACTATGTTAACCTCGAGATGACCTGTTTCCTAAGTTTGGAAGAGAATGTTGTTACTCTTACCTGGCCCAGACATAGACCTAATTGGTAATAATTTAAAGAGGAATAATGAAGACAACGTTGCACTTTCACTGTATGGCCACATTTATAAAAATGCGTGTATGATACTGTGGAAAGCACAGCAGTGACAGCAGAGTAGCAAAGTCCAAGGCTGCAGCAAGTGAGAATATGCTCAAAAGCAGCAGCCATGGACAGAGAAACAAAGGGAAGGATCTGCTTACCCTCAGAAGACCTCAGGTAGGCAGGGATCTCCACCAAGGGCCCCTCACCTCCCCTGCCAACCCTTAAAAGAGGTCTGGGAAGGGCTGGATCCTGGCTCCACCCCTGCTGGTGCACACATTGCATACACCTGAGCTCCCCTGTGTTGGCCCTGTCTTCCCACTAGATGCTCAAACGCTGGTTCAGGCTATGACTTAGCATTTCTGCTATAGTGTGCAAATGCAGTCAAACTAAATGAAGATATGTATTTATTGAGGACTTCAAGTTGAGTTATGTACTGAATTCATAAATGCAAATAAATCCTCTAGCTAGTAGTCAAAGAAAACTTCTTAAAACAGGATAAAATAGAGCAATTCTTTGAGCTGTTCTGTAACCACGTCCCTAATTACATTCAGTTCTTGTCTGCATTTTTATTTCTGTGATGTTGCTTGTATCCTGTTTTTTGTTCTAGCATAGTTAGGTACTCTACTGTTAACTGCTGTCTGACAGGAAGGTACCTTTTGGCCAGAGGCAAAAGAGGTATCCAGACAACAAAACTGAGTTTTAAAGGAAAGGAACTAATTCTTTTAAGAGAGCAAGGGCTGCCATAACCAAACTGCGCTATAATCAGTGATCTTTCATGTGTTAGGTTAGATAAATCAGAAAGAAAAATCTACAGCTAACTGAAAAAATGCAGAGGGAAATGTCGTGTGATACTTCAGCTAGGAAGTTGAGACTTTGGATGTGGCCAGAACAACAAAGATTTCTGATAGAAAATATATGCAAACTTGATGCATATGGAAAGAACTGACTTAGTAAATAGCTGCTTTCATAAATAATTTGCTTGGGAAAAGAAAGCTCGTGTTTTGTAGCCCCATGTAAAGCATCTAAAAAAAACAGAGGATAAAAACAAAAATATTAAATCTCTGTTTATTGCGAAATAATATGCAAGTGCTGGACATCAACATTAAAGATATCCAAACAGACATGCAAACCTTTTGCCTCAGCCTGCCGTGGCCCTGTTGTCTGGGAAATATTTAACGGTTCAGAAATAAATCTCTTGTTTTCTTTGAGATTTTCAAGTGTTCCTCCTGTATCCGTCAGTTTGAGTCAAAACCTCAAATACGTAAATATGCACATCTTTTTCTGCCTCATCTGTGGTTTCTACTATTCTTTCATCCATTTACAAGTGTAACTTTGTTTTCCTTTTTATAAAGGAGAACCATTTTTGTTACAATGAGAAAAGATAGCATCCATTAGAGTACTTTCAGCTGTACTTTCAGTTCCCTTGCATAATTCACCTGCTTCGGTACTGAGTAAGCTCTGAGACAGGGCTTGTTCTTTATCAAACCACTGTAGAGTTCAATGAGGATAAGGAACACTATTAAAATACCCATATATGTGGAAATGCTGTGTTTGAGCTTCCTTCTGTAAATGAAGGAAATCAACAGAGAAAGGATTAATGGAGAAAACTGGTGCTTGTTTATAGATTCCTCCTTTCTGGACTGCTACTTGGATGTACTCAGCACACCACAAATACTGCATTTGGTTTTGTTTTACATGAAGAAGTCTGAAGATGTTAACAGAACTATTTTTAAGTACTATACTCTGCAGACAGAATAAATTAAGGCTTCTAGATGTGCTCTCCACCCCTCTCAAACGCATGAATCCTCAAAGCCAAATCTGATTTTATGTTTGCTGGCTTGCTCTTTTGATTCTCCAAGGTATGTAGTAGCTGTCTTTTTCTTGGATATCTCGTTTGCTACTGTAATTGCTTCTGGAATTTGTGTTAAGTGAAGTCCAGATTATTTGAAGTCAGTAGTTTATGCTTGCACATTCTAAGTAAATATTTTGTTACTGAGTGTTGAACACTGAGAGGAAATGGGTAAAAAGATGCTTAGGATCCCTGTCTGGTGGAAACTTACCTTCTTGTTCACTGACACTTACCACTCAGCAACGTGTGTGTTTGGATCCTCACCCTGTTTATTGCTATATATTTATATGTACACATACTGCTATGCAATTTCTGACTCTGCAGCTAGCCTTTTCATGAATTTATGCATGCTTGTAAAGACTTATATCTAAAGGTTAATAAACTTCAAGACTTCTCTACCATTTGCAAGCTGCAGTCTTAGGTGTCAATGGAATGAGAATGCAAAATATCTATATAGTCCTTTTTCACATTTTCTTTCCTTTTATGTTTTCATTTATTACCATTGAAGGTATTCTCTGGCTTCTCGTATATTCAGCATTTCTGCAGATACTCTTTAGAACTGTTCTTTAAAAAAGAAAGAGAAAGGCCAGAAAGGAAGCTTGAGACTCAGACGCAAGCTACAATATTTTCTGCTGCAGCTGTAAAATGGAATATTTGAATACAAAATTATTTTTGACATGTTCAGAACTATGACAGCCCATCATCGGTTTTGTATAATTTCTCTTGGCCAATTCCATATCTTTCTAGTTCTCTCACTACCCGCCAAAAAGCACCTTTTTAAAGAGTTGTTTCTCGCACTACCAATGCTGGCTTTACTCAGATGTGAAGTCTTAAAATGTCTCCTGATTATGTTCTTCCTTGACATTTTCTCTCACCAAAAGGAAAGCTACAAGTAAAGCCTGAACAGCTACAATATGAAAGTTGTCTGTATTGTGGTAGTTGAAATCCAACACTAACAAAAAGCCACTATTGAGTCATGGAATCATTTAAGGTTGGAAAGGACCTTTAAGATCATCTAGTCCAACTGTCCACCTACCACCAATATTGCCCACTAAACCATGTTAATTAGTACTAGATTATACATATATATGTATATTTCCTCCAAAAAAATCTTGATTTGAAGGAAATAATTAGTCCTTTAACACAGTGCCCTGATGTACACAGAGCAGCAGGGAGAGTGCTCAATACTGTTTGAAATATACATACCAAGATAAAGAATGTTCTTAGGAGTACTACCATGAATACCATCTTGTAGTTGTTTCGCTCGGTTTGTTTAACATCAGAAATCCAAACTCTGGAACTGTAGAATACAGACTTTTTGCATATTTTCTCTGTTTTTTATTAAGAGATAGAACTGTCTGAAAAAGGGAAGATGGGTCCTATCTAGTGCAGTCTAAAACTTCAGTTGCTGTGGATAGGAACCATCTGTGGGCACGTAGAGGCAGTTCCTGCTACATTCAAAGTTTAATAACCAAGTTAAGGCTATTGTAACTGAAACAGACTGGTAAAAGAAAACATGTAATATCAATCTTCTTCTGATTGGCTGTGCGTACTGTAGTCAAAACAGGCATGCATTTGAGCCTGATCTTGGTTTAGTTTTGTCTGTGTGTGCATAACTCATTTTACATTTGAGTTTTGGGTTATTCCCATTCAACACACACATAGCATGCGCACACCCCTTCTGCAAGCTGGATAGTAGATTCTAATGCTTTCTCTCAGAAGAGAGAAGGCTGTTTGGGATGAGCTCTCTGCCCATCACTTTTTCTCCTTCAGAACCTGGAAATGAATCCAGAACTCTTGTATCCCATACTTGTGTGGCTCAGCGTAATGGAAAATTGTGTCAGTTGTGTTTGTTGTTTGTTTTTTTTTTAAGTAACTACCCATTTGTGGAGTCAAGTACCGCCTCAACTAAGAGGCAATATGTGCTGGTGTAGCACTACTATACAGTACACAGATAGGGTAGAGAAGAATGGAGTATGTGGGAGTTGTCTGCATGCAGTAGAATTCAAACTGAATGGGAGCTAACTGTTTTTAACACAGTACTTTGAATTTTTGTTGTCCTTAATACAGACAACGTTAATAACAACTTAATGCATTTCAAGTAGGACCCCCAAGATTAATGGAAAGCATGTCAATTTTGTGCCTAGTATTTCTTTTTTCCTTAACTCATGCTTGGAGCTAGCATCATCACTTTACATGTGATTTAAAGATGAATTCTTTCATTTTTGCTCTTACATTCCATGTGATAAATGCCTAGAGGCAGGAGAAAGGGAAATAAATTCCCAGTGCATGGTCAGGATAGGTTCTCATTAAATAAGGTGCTTGCCTGAACAGCTTTATAATAATAATATCTTATATGTAGTAGGCTCTAATGACTGCTGCAAGTTACACTTCTGATTCTAAAGCTTGCTCAAATGTGTGTTGGACATTCTATAATCTTGTTTTTTTTTTAGCTACAGAAGTGAGAATTTCCCATCAAAGGATATGTGATCAGGAAGGAAACTGTGTGCCAGGGTGCCTTGACTGGTAACTCTTGGCTGCAACATCTTGGTCCTATATTCTGCATTTCCCATTATTATTGAGGTCACCATTCTGGAATGGGTTATAAAACTATCTTTGAATGTTCAATACACAAAACTAGATCTCTTTACATATTTTTCTAATGGGACAACTTAACATTTTGTATTTCTTTAAAAAGGTAGGGAAGTTTCCAAGGTTTGATTATGATTATTTGAGAAGGTATGTTGTTACTGGGCGTGTGTGTACTGAGGAATAGTGCAGTAGCTGCTACCATTTTTATTTATTTATTTAT